CATTAGCTGCTTGGACACTTTCCAGCTGACACTCAGAGGAAACTGAGTGAAACTAGGTGAAATGGAGGTGAGACTTTGCAGGCCCTGAGAGAGTCAATCACAACCAGTTAGCTAAGGAGGGGAGCAGCTCAAGATGCCAGTAGCAAGTGTTCCTCAAAGATGGAAACTGTAAGGCAATGTGATGGAGTTGGGTGGGGGTTGTGGAGCCATGGAATAAAATGTGTGGGGGGTCAAGGAGTAAGTATCAGAAAGAAGAAATCTCGTGTGGATTACAAATGTTTTAGAAGGAGGGAGGGGACCCTGAAGGGACTGGTCCCCATGACAGTCTTAAGTCATACAACTCAGTCAACAGCAACATTGTCGATCTGTTGCCACAGGGAAGGTTGCTCACCTCTATCATGGTTTAATAAGGATCAGGATAAACAAATAGGACAAACAGATGTTTCTTCAGGGAGAAATAACTCACAACATAGACAAATGAACACCAGCAGGTTCCATTGGATGCTCTCCTCTCCACCTCTAGCCAGCCAGAGAGCCCTCCTGGGCTCCTCTTCAGATATAGTTCCCAGGTCACTTCCTCCCCTGTCTCCACCCCCAATGGGCATGGTCAGTGCCACAGATGCAGACAAGGTGAATATCTCACTACAATTCCCCTTTTAGTCTAAAGAAAAGATTTAGACTTGATACAAAACTATATACAACACAGTGAATAATAAGTGTGTTCGAAGAAAAGGAAAATCAAGAACATACAAACTTAATACCTACATAACTTGTCCTAGGGTGAAGGCTTAACGGAGTTTACAATAGAGTTGTCCTAAGCTTGAAAGCTTAAGCCTAGTACCTAATATAACTAACTAGGAAGAGAATAGTAGTTGTCAGAGTTTATTGTCAACCTCATTAAGACCTGAGAAGGAAAATAACAATACTAGGGTAAACAGGAAGTGAGGATGGGCAACTTCCAAAAGGATCAGCGAGGACAGAAACAATGCGCTACCTGGAAAGTCACCCAAGGTCTCACAGCAATGTTAGTACAACCAGTTTTGGCTAAGGCAAAGAGTACTTGACAGACCACAACAAAAGTAGGAAGGTGTAAATGCTGCCTTACCCTGACTTGGCAGGGTTCAGCTGTCTTCTATGTTTGTCTCCTGCAAGCACATAGGACTGCACTTCCAAATCAGTGGTCAAGGTGGGGCAGTTCTTTGCCCAAAAGGCCATTAGCTGAAGCAAGGATAGACTCCAGAAGGAGCAACAACAGTGTCCAACATATTTTTGGGAAAATGCACGGTGCTGTCAGGAGCAATAGTGTCTCATGTCAATGAAGTACTAATATTAAAACATTTAAATGCCATGTTCTGCATGTCTATGAATTATTTAAAGATTAAGCATCTATGTCTGACTAATCTCATAGGTATAGGAAATATGGGTGAAGATAATCTGTACCACTCAGGTATGGACATGGGGCTATTCATCTGGCTCCTATTGCAACTCCACAAAGATCATTCCTTACTGGCATCGGGAGGTGCTGGAAGTGTTCCTTCCCTCAGAGACCACGCTGAACCTTAAACAAGCCCTCAAGCTCCTAATTGATGGTGCTGATCACAGTTTCAACTATAAGAAGGAAACAACCTTGTGAGAGTTTCCCATTCAGTTAAAAAATAAGGCAATGTGGTCAGCATGACTATCCAGCTGCCACATGAAAGCAAGACACCTCAGGATGAGCTGGACAGACTGTGACTTCCTCAGTACTTGCCTTGACCCTCGAGACTTCAACCTAGAACTCAAAAACCCAAGAAGGGGATGGGAGGAGGTCAAGAGACACAGGGGAGTTGACCACAAGATATGATTCTGATCAAGTGGAAAACTTTATTTTTCTACCTGGAGCTTCTATAGTGGGCAGAGCAAGAATGTAGGAAAAATGGCAAGGAAGGTAAGTAGAATAGTTGAGGGCCAAGTGTTCTTGCGAGCATAATATAGATAATCACAAAGAATGGATGTTGACATGGGTGGAAAGATCAGGAGATATGAGAACAAGAAAGGTTACTATGGTGATGGGGCTAGTGGTTATATGCTAGGTTGATCTTGTTAATTTGGGGTAGTTACTATATCATCAAACATTTTTGGAATAACTGAAGGCTCTAAATGTACAGCCAAAAGAAAGCCAGAGTTCAGCCAAAGTTTGTTCCATAACTGAGCATAGATCCAGCCTCAGTTCCAACAAGTACTGTTTCCTGACATACTGTCATGTGCCTACCCAGTAAGGCTTCCCTTCTCAGCATAACTCCCATGCTGACACAGTCTCTACTACACTGAATAAATGGAGATGTAAGCAGAAGTTTCTCAGTACAACCAAGCCTTGTTTGGAGGATTTCCCCATTTGGTAAATGTGCATGTTCATTGTGACGTGTAATCAGTCCCATCATCACAATATCAATAAAGGAATTCTTGCAAGGCATTTATTTGACATTTGAATAACTTGCCTTTCCTTTTCTTGTCTTGCTATGCACATACCTTCCCTTGTGTTGCTGTCCACATTTCTTCAATTCCCTTCCCTTTTATTTTGATGTCTTTTTGTTCCTTGCCTTGTCTTTCCTTGCCTTTCATTGCATTACATTGTTGTGACATGTGCATGACTTGCAGTCACTTTCCTTTCTTTGCCTTGCCTCTCTTTGCTTTGCCATACCTTGACATCACATTCAAAGCCTTCGTGTTTACTTGCCTTGCCTTCCTATTCATATATCTTGACTTCATTTCCTGAAAAAAAAAAATGCATAATTTTACTGCTTACTTTTCATGCTGTGAGCATGGACTACCATGCCCTGTCTTTTATTTCCTTTCCTTGGCATGATTTCCCTTCCTTGTTTCATTTCCCTTTCCTTTCCTTCCATTTCTTCCCTTCTATCCCCTTCCTTTTCCACTGCATACCCATTCACTGACTTTTGTTTCCATGCTATGCCTTGCATTGTGCCAGACTGTCCTTCTATTTTCTTCTGTGCCTTGCCTTGCCTGCCTTACACAGCCTTGTTATGACATCTGTATGATGTGCTCTGACTTTTCTTCCTTTCCCTTCCCTTGCTTTGTTTTGCTGGCCTAACCATCATATGCAGTGACTTTGGCTTTATTTTCATTGTCTTTATATTCACATTCCTTGGCTTATATTTCCTTGCAAAAGGCATACTTTTCCCCCAAAGCTTTTCCTTGCTATGAACCTTTCCTTCTGTTTTCTTTCCTTCCCTTTTCCTCCCCTTCCTTACCTTCCCTTTGCTATCATGCCTTGCCTTTTATTTCCTTCCCCCTCCTTTTCCTCCATCTCTTCTATTCCCTTTCCTTTCCTGTTCTTTCCATTATTTCCTAGCCTCGCCTTGCTCTACCATGTACTTACATTGCTGGACACTGCTTCTTCTGTCGTTGCTTGCTAAATCATGTACTTGCTCTGCTTTGTCTTGATTTTTACCTCTTTGTCATATCTATTCCTCCACTGCCTGGTCTTGCCATGTCTTGTCTTCCCATGACTTGCCTTCCCTTGCTTGGTCATGATCATGATTTTTATTGCCTTGGATTTCTTTGTCCGTTCATGCCTTCACTTCTTTTCCATGCCTTACCTTTGGCATTCATTGCCATATCTTGACTGTTCTTGCATTTTTGTCATGTGTATGACTTGCATTTCCTTGTCTTGACTTGCCAAGCACATTCCTTTCTTTCATTGCCATGCCTTCTTGCCTTCTTTTTCTTTTGATGCCCATTCCTTGACTTTTGTTTCCAAGACATGCCTTGCATTGACTTAATGTGTCTTGTGTAAGACTATCCTGGTTTGTTGTTGTTTTTTGTTTGTTTTTGTTTGTGCATGGGTGTGTTTTGCCTTCTCTTTCATTGTCTTGCCATGCCATGTTCATGACTTCCACTGACTTTTCTTTCTTTGCCTTGCCTTGCCTAACCTTGTTTGGCCAAGTTTTGTGAATGCATGCAATGCTTCTGCCTTTACTTTTCTTGCCTTCCTATTTACATTGTTACTATTTCCTTGCAAAAAGCATTTATTTATTTCACTAGCTTTTTCATGTTGTGAGCTTGACCCACCTTGCCTTGCATTGTCTTTCCTTTCACTACCTTACCATGTGCATGCCTTTCCTTTTCTTCCGTTACTTTTCCTTCCCTTTCATTTCCTACCATTTCATTTCATTTCCTTCCTGTTCTGTTTTTTCCTTTTCCTTCCCTTCCCCTCCATTTTCTCTCCTTGTCTTACCTTATTTTGTTCTTGCATTGCATGACATTGTTTTCTCTAACCATGCTTAGCAATCCATGTCCTTGCTTTGCTTTGACGTGTCTTCTCCCTCTTCATTATGTCTATCCCTGTGTTGTCATGCCTTCCCTTGCCTTTCCTTACCTTCCCATGTGAATCCTTTGCCATATTTTGCCTTGACTTGTGTTTCTTTATCATGTTAATATATTGTCTTTCCTGTACTTTCCAAGCCATACATATACCTTCCCTTGCGTTGTTTTATGCATTCCTTCCATTCTAACCCTTTTGGATGCCCATTCCTTGACTTTTGTTTCCATGTCATGCCTCGCAATGATGTATGTTGTTTTTTGCCAAATTGTTCTTGCATGTTCATTCTTTGTATTGCATTTCTTTCCCTTGCCTTGTGCATGACTTGCACTCAATTTCCTTTCTTTGCCTTGCTTTGCTTTTCCTGGTTTTGCCTTCCTTGCCGTCACATGCAATGCCATTACGTGTTCTAGCCGTGCCTTCGTATTCACATTTCTTGGGTTACACTTCCTTGCAAAATGCATACTATTGTTTCCCTTATTTTGCTTTGCTATGAACAGGGCTACCCTGACTTAGGGCTATCCTGTTGGCAGAGGTGCAGTGATTGACAGCTCTCCTGTAGGCAGGGCTGCCATGACTAAGGGCTCTTCTGTGGGCGGGGCTCATGACCCTGTGATTGACAGCCCTGAGCTCAGCAAGGCCGTGGGCCTGGCTTGGCGTCACGGGGCGAGGACTGAAGGGGACGGGTGGGGGGCGTGGCCTCCGCCACGTCTGTGCTGCAGGCACTGCGGGCCGTGCTCCTGGTCTATGCCGTGGGCGCTTCAGTCATCTTACGGCAGCTGCTGCGGCGCCTGCGCGGGGGCTTCCGGCCGCCAGGTGAGTCACTTGGGGTCCATGTGGGCCTGGGGGGAGCGGGGGGAGTTCGGTGTGAGGGACCTCGGCGACAGGGACTCCTGGAGTACCTTGGTTATGCAGGACCGGAAGTGGCAATTCCACCATCTCTTTTGTGGGCAATTGCATTACTGGAAACCGGAAGTGGTCTTGCGAGCGCCCGATGTAACCTGAGGGGATTCCCGTGTTCCATCAGCCGTTGAGACTTGGAAAAGGTTCCCGGGGGTCGCAACATTCCGGTATTCGTTCCCCCATGATGCCCTGCATCAACCGAAAGTCTTCGTTGTTTTTACCGGAAGTGTTCCGTCCGCCATATTTAGTGGAAGTGGCGTCGAAGCATGGCATGATGGGAAATGTAGTCCCCTCCTGTGATTCTTCTGAATAACTGCTTCATCCATAGTGGAACTGTCATTTGCAGATTCTTCAAATATGTGAGAAATTTACTTATCTTGGGTTAAATTATTTACATTTTTTGGAAAATCATTGGCAGGTTAGTGAAAAATGTGAAGAACTTTTTTTTTGCATTAAATAATTTAAATTTTTGAAAACATATTGGCAGATTCGTCTAAAATGTGGGAAGTATAAGTATTTTTCTTTTAAATAATTTAGAATTTTCGAAAATCATTGGCGCATTCAGGTAAAATGTAGGAAATGAAATTATTTTTTTATTAAATAATTTAAATTTTTGGAAAATCATTGCCAGATTATTGATGTGTCAAATAACTTTTTGCATTAAATAATTTGGATTTTGAACAATCTTTGGCAGATTCGTCTTAAATGTGGAAAGTAAAATTATTTTTCTATTAAATAATTTTGACTTTTGGACCATCACTGGCAAATGCTTGGTAAATGTGAGAATTTAAATTTTGTATTGAATAATTTAGATTTTTGGAAATCATTAGCATATATGAGAAACGTGAGAAACTACTTATTGCATTTTTGTGTACTAATTACTTTTGAGCTTTTACAGTCATCGTTACATTCGTGAAAAATGTGAGAAAATAAACTGTTTAAATTGGATATTTCAATTTTTGAAAACTTATTGGCAGATTCGTGAAAATGCGATAAATAGAATTTGTTATCGATTTAAAAATGAAATTTCTGTTAAGTTTTCTGCAGATTCATGGAAAATGTGACAAAGTAATTGTTTTGCATTAAATAATGTAGAGGACTGGAAAGTCATTGGCAGATTCGTGAAAAATGAGCAATGGGGTCCCCAGAGTGACAGGGGAGTGCATTTTGATTGACAACTGGCAGGGCGTGGCTGCTCAGGAGGGCGTGGCTGCACAGTGATGAACGCCCCACTGATTGTTCCTCCACATTCTGCCCTGACCCACTTCCTGCCCTCACTTCCTGCCCCCCACTTTCCCACCCGCCCACAGTGCTGCCCTGGCAGCCCGACCGCGTAGCTCTGGTGACTGGAGGCACTGAAGGCATCGGCCTGGCCACAGCACAGCAACTGGCGGCCCTGGGCATGCGCGTGGTGATAGGTGAGCCAGGGCATGGCGGGCAGGGTTGCTGGGTGCTGGGTGCTGAGTCCAGGTGGATGTGGGTTCAGGGCGGCCACCAGGGTCAAGTTTCTGGTCTGTTATTTTAGCGGGAAATGACAAGGCAAAGGCGCAGGAGGTCGTGACCCGGATCCAAGCCGAGACCAAGAACAAGAGGGGTGAGCATGGTGCTGATTGCTTTTTTGAGTGCTCCCAGTGCTCGCTGTTCAGTGCTCAGTGCTCTGGGTTTTCGATACTCTGGGTGCTCAGTGTTCGGTGCACAGAATTCCGGGTGCTGAGTGCTCAGTGCTTGCTGGGTGCTGCATGCTGGGTACTCATGCTTGGTTCTGAGTGCTCAGTACTGGGTGCTCGGTACTTGGTTCTAGATGCTGGGTGATTGGATCTCGGTGCACAGTGTTCCGGATGCTGGGTGCTTGGTGCTGGGTAATGGGTGCTCAGTGCTTTGCTGGGTGCTCGGTTCTCGGTGCACAGTGCTCCAAGTACTGGGTGCTCGGTGCTGGGTAATTGGTTCTCGATGCTGTTAGCTCCGTGCTGGGAGCTCAGTGCTCGATGATCAATGCTCCAGTTGCCCCTCCTCGCTGCTGACATCGCCCCCGGCCCTGCCCACCCGCAGTGCACTTCCTGTTCTGTGACCTCGCCTCCCTGGCCTCCGTGCGGAAATTTGCCAGCGACTTCCTGTCCCTGGGGTTCCCACTACACGTGCTGGTGAACAATGGTGAGTGCGCGCTTGCGAGCAGTGACTTCATCGTCCTCCTCTTCTGCATATGCAGATGACACTCATGAATATATCGGCATAAACAAGCGGGTTAGCACAAAGGCATTGGCAGTACACATGCAAATGAGCCACGGATATGCAAATGAGTGGTGACCATGCTCTCATGCAAGCTATACATCACTGAGGTCAGGACTCTACAATTCATTAAATGAGAGTGGTTATGCCATGTGTCACCTCCTACAAGGCACGTGCTGTTACATTTGCATATGCAAATGGCCTCCATGAATGGAGGGAATCATGCTCCATCAGGAAGCAATGATTGATGACTTCCTAACCACACAGGAGGTGCTTTCCATTCACCCCCTGTGTACAGATGTCCTTGTCCGAACCCCTGTGTCTCACTTCCTGTCCCCCACACATTATTTCCTGTACCATGTGCCTCACTCTGCAGCCCCACTTCCTTTACCTGCCCCACATTCCCCTCCCCCTAGCCTCACTTCCTGTCTCCCTTCTCTCAATCCCCTCCCCCAGAGTCTTACTTCCTGTCACCCGCACATCAATTCCTGTCCAGCATCCTCATTTCCAGTCTGTCCAGTCTCGCTTCCTGTTCCCCTCCCCTCACACCTGGCCTCACTTCCTGTCCCCCGCGCCTCCCTCCCGGCCTAACTTCTTACTGCAGCCCCTCACTTCCTTTCCTACAACATGACAGCCACAGTCTTGATGGTTCCGCCCAGCAAAACGGAGGACGGCTTTGAGCGCCACATGGGATTGAACTTCCTGGGCCACTTCCTGCTAACGAGGCTACTGCTGGGTGTGCTGCGGGCATCAGGGTCGCCTGGTCAGAGGTCGCGTGTGGTGACCCTGGGGTCAGCCACGCACTATGTGGGGGAGCTGGACATTGACACCCTGCGGGCCAGGTGGGCCGGGCTGGGGTGGGGCTAATGGTTGGGGCCCAGGTAGCTATGGGCAAGCCATGTGACAGGAAGTCAGGTGACAAGTAGGGAGTCCTGGAGGAAGTGAGGGGACAGGAAGTGGGTCCTAGTGGAAGTCAGGTGACAGCAAGTGGGTCCTGGAGGAAGTGAGGTGAGAGCAAGTGGGTCCTGGAGGAAGTTAGAGGACAGGAACTGGGTACTAGAGGAAGTCAGAGGACAGGAACTGGGTACTGGAGGAAGTCAGAGGACAGGAACTGGGTACTGGAGGAAGTCAGAGGACAGGAACTGGGTACTGGAGGAAGTCAGAGGACAGGAACTGGGTCCTGCAGGGATTCAGGGGGCAGGAACTGGGTCCTAGAAGGATTCAGGGGACAGGAAGTGGGTCGTGGAGGAAGTCAGAGGACAGGAACTGGGTCGTGGAGGAAGTCAGAGGACAGGAACTGAGTACTGGAGGAAGTCAGAGGAAAGGAACTCGGTCCTGGAGGAAGTCAGAGGACAGGAACTGGGTCCTGGCGGAAGTCAGCGGGCAGGAACTGGGTCGTGGAGGAAGTCAGAGGACAGGAAGTGGGCTCTGGAGGGATTCGGGGACAGGAACTGGGTCGTGGAGGGATTCACGGAATAGGAACTGGGACCTGGAGGAAGTCAGAGGACAGGAACTAGGTACTGGAGGAAGTCAGAGGACAGGAAGTGGGTCCTGGAGGAAGTCAGAGGACAGGAAGTGGGTCCTAGAGGGATTCAGGGGACAGGGACTGGGTCCTGGAGGAAGTCAGAGGACAGGAAGTGGGCTCTGAAGGATGTCAGGGTAGAGGAAGTGCATCATGGGGGAAGTCAGAGGCAGGGCAGAACAGGGAGTGGGCCCCACAGGCATCCAGGACCCCGACACCCATGCTCACCATGATGCTCCCCTCAGACCCCCCCACTCCGCCTCCTCAGCTTATGCGGGCAGCAAGCTGGCGCTCGTGCTGTTCTCCAGGCGGCTGCAGTGGCTCCTGGTGGCGCGCGGTGACCCTGTGACCTCAAGCGTGGCCGACTCGGGCGTCGTGGACACAGCGCTGTACCGGCATGCGGGCTGGGGCATACGGGCTGCCAAGCGCCTGCTGGGATGGGCCCTGTTCAAGGTGAGAAGCACTGGGTGGGGAGCATTGGGCAGGGAACATCGAGAACAGAGTGAGGAGCCCTGACTGAAGGGCACTGAGAAGTGAGCAAGGAGCACTTGGTAAGGACAACTCAGTTTGGAGTACGGAGGAGCACTGCACAGGGAACACTGAGCACTAAGTGAAGGGCACTAGCATTGAGTGAGGAGCACTCAGTGAAGGGTACTGAGCACTGGGCAGGGAGCATTGAATGAGCAGTGAGTGTGGAGCATTGAGCACTGAGTCAGAGGCACTAAGTTTGGAGCAGTTAGGAGCACTGGGTAGGGAACACTGAACACTGAGGAAGAAGCACTGGGTGAGGATCACTGAGTTGGGACTATGGAGGAGCACTGTGCAGGGAAAACTGAGCACTGAAGAAGAAGCACTGATAGGTGAGGAGCACTGAGGAGAACTGAGAATTGGGTGAGGAGCACAGGGTGAGGATCACTGAGTTGGGAGTATGGAGGAGCACTGTGCAGGGAAAACAGCATTGAGGAAGAAGCACTGATAGGTCAGGAGCACTGAGTGAGGAGGAGCCGAGAACTGGGTGAGGAGCAGTGAGCGCACCACCCTCCGCCCCATGCAGACCCCTGCTGAAGGCGCCTGGACCTCTGTCTCTGCGGCTTCTGCCCCAGAGCTGGAGGGACGGGGTGGCCTGTACCTCAGGGACGAGGCTCCAGCCGAGCCCCTTGCAAGCACGCGGGACCCAGAGCTGCAAGACCGGCTGTGGGCAGTGGCCGAGAGTGTGGTGGGTGTGGCCAGGGATGACTGAGGATGCCCAGGAACCCAGGGATACGCCCACTGCGTCAAGGGATGCAGGGACCCGGGAAGACATCACGATGGCAGGCCACGCCCACCTCACCAAGGCCCCGCCCAGGACAGAGGAGGACTCAGCGCCCAGCACCTAAGGGGGAAGCATTAGCCATGCGATGACATCAGGGCAACAGACCCCCACCAGACAAGACAGAGACGGTTCCTCCCAATGACATATGGACTGAGATCTAAACAACCAAATGGGATGACTCAGTCATGGGTCTCAGAGATGGGGGTGGGGCTCTAGCAGCATTTCTGGTGAATCAAAATTGGCCGCCCTGGAATATCAAAGATGGCCGCCCGGGGTATCTAAGATGGTCACCTTGGTCCCCTATATCTGAGAGGGATGAGTCGTCTCTGACTGACGGGGGTAATGGCAGAGGAGCCTGGGGCAGAGGGCAGGGTCAGGGTGGGTTCAGGGGTGAGGTCAGGGGAAGGTGGCAGAGGGCAGGGGTAGAGCAGGGGCAGGGATGGGGTCAAGATTCTGAAGTAGGGGCCCATGTGAGTGACATCAGGATTTGGATCAGGGTGCGGTCCAGTGTCCTCATGGTCAGAGGCAGAGGGTGGGGTCCAAAAGGAGGACCCAGTGATGTCAGGGCATGCCCTGGGGCAGGGCTAGTGCATAGGAGCCTGGGGCCAGGGTTGGGGTAGGGAGTAAGCCTTAGTAAATGACTTTAAGGGTGGGGTAATGTGTGATATTCACTTTGTCTCCTTCTGTGGCACTGACCACGCCCATTGAGGGGTGGACCAGGGGCGGAAGTGACCTGGGTTACTAGGTCTGTGGAAGCGAGAGAACTCTCTCTTGCAAGCCACATGGGGAGAGGAGGACTTCCGGAAGAATTCTTGGAAGCAGGAACCTGCTGGTGTTCACCTATGTTGTGAGTTATTTCTACCTAAATAAACATCTGTTCAGCCTAATTGTTTATCCAGATCCTTATTAAACTGCAATAGGGTAATATCTCAGTGGGCAGGGCTAGGGCATCACACGCCCACTGAGGTCACCTGCCTGGCCATGCCCTGCCTGCTGAAATCACCCGACATGCCCTGCCCCACCTGTTGACATCTCCCGCCTCCATCATCCACCATCCACAGTTGCCTGATGGCAACACAGGTAAGGAGCAGCAACCTTACCCAGTGAGTGCTGAGTCCCATGGCCCCAGCCAGCTACAGGTCGTCCTATCCCTGAGTGTGGAGTCGAGGGCGTCAAAGACTCCCAGCTCACAGGCCTAGAAGAGCAGCTGGGGGTGCGGGGCACTCTGCACTGGTGACACCCTGGGTGATGCTATAGTTACCCAGGGGTCACACTGGGGTTGCCTGGGGTCTCACAGCAGTCACTCAAGATTCATACTGGGGTCACACAGGGATCTCCCATGGTCATGCTGGGGTCAAGCACCTGTCACGCAGGAGTAGAGTCACATGGGGGTCATGTGGGGGTCTCCATGGGGCACACAGGGGCCACAAACAGGTCAGGCTGGCATCAAGCTGGGGTCACCCTACCTACCTACAACACCATGAAGCCTTGCTCCACCTCAATGAGCAGCCAGAAGTCCCTGTCCAGCGTCCCCTCCTCGTCCCCATGGGAGGTGGTCATGTTGTCCCCATGTCTGCCCTGACCCCTGGACCCAGTGATTTAAATTGAGTTCAGGTGGGGTTGGACAAGGAGGGGTGGAGATGGGAGGGCCAAGGCAAATCATCTTGGAACCTCTCCGGCCTCAGCTTGGCTGATCCAGATCAGGACTGGGCAAGAGCTCCAGAGAAAGTGGAGAGGCTTGTGGGGGACAGGGGAGGGGTATGCACAGCCCCAGGGATCCACACCCTCATTGGGTACTCTCCCCAGGGTCCCGACCCTTCCTGCCACCACTTCCAGTTCCAGGGTGAACAGTGACCCCCACTTCCTGTTAAAAGGGGAACTATGACAACCATTTCCTGTTAATGGGAGGTGCTGTGACCCACTCTTCCTGTCCCAGGGTGACCCCCACTTCCTATGAATGGGGTGACCTGTGACCTTGCATCCAGATCCTAGGCAACTTTGTCAAGTCATTTACACACTTCCTGTGCCCTGTGTGACTAGTGACCACTCTTTTACTCACTCTCTATTCCCTGTGTCACCTGTGACCTCTCTGACCACTTCCTGTTTCCTGTGTGACCTGTGACCTCTCTCTTACACACTTCCTGTTCTCTGTGAGACCTGTGACACCTAGTTTACCCATTTCCTGTTCACTGGTATGGTGTACATCTCTCACTTCCTGTTTCCGACATGACCAGACAGCACTAATTTACCAACTTCCATTCCCAATGTGAACTCTGACCTTTCCTTTACTCACTTCCTGTTCCTTGTGTGACCTTTGACCATTCCTTTCCCCATATCCTGTTCCCTGTGTGAACAGTGACCTCTGACTTTACCCAATTCCAGTTCTCTCTATATCTGACCACTACTATAGCCACTTCCTGCTCCCTGTGTGACTTCTGATATCTCCTTACTCACTTCCTGTTAATTATGTGGCCTGAGACCTCTCCATTACCAACTTCCTCTTCCCCGTATGACCTGTGACGTCACATTTGCCCACTTCCAGTTCCCTTTGGAACCTATGACTTCTCTATTGCCCACTTCCGGTTCACCGTGTGACCCGGGATCTCTCCTTTACCCATTTCTTTTTTCCTTCCTGACATTGCCTTCTCTATTACCCACTTCCTATTCTTTATGTTTACTGTGACCTGTCCTATACACACTTCCTGTCTTCTGTGTGATCTGTGACTTCATTTTCACACTTCCTGTTCTCTGTGTGACCTGTAACCTCCCTCTTTACCACTTCCTGTTCCTTGTGTGACCTTTGCCCTCTACACACTTCCTGATTCCTGTATGACCTTCCGATTGGCAGGGATGATGTCTATTTCCCACTTTCAGTTCATTCTGAGGGTGACCTGTGACCTCTCCTTTACCCACTTCTTGTTCCCTGTGTGACATGTGACTTGTCTTTTGCCCACTTTTGTTTCCCATGGTGAATTCTGACTTCTCCATTACCAAGTTCCCATTCCTTGTGTGACTTGTGACCTATTCTTACTCACTGCCTATACTCTGTGTGACCTGTGACATCTCTCTCACACACTTAGTATTCCCTCTGTAACCTGTTTCATTTACAAATCTTCTGTTCCCTGTGTGACCTGTCACTTTTCCTTTATACACTTATGGTAGACAGGGATGATGTACGTCTCTTCCTGTTCTCTGTGTGACCTGTGACCTCACTTTACCCACTTCCTTTTATCTGGGTGAACTGTGACCTTACTTTTTCCTAATTTCCATTCCTGTGTGACCTGTCCTGTGACTCCTCTCCTACTCGCTTTCTTTTCCATATCTTAGCTGTGGGTATTACCTACTTCTTTTTCCCACCTTTACACGCTGCCTGTTCCCTGTGTGACCTGTGACTTCTCTTTCACCCACTTTCATTTCCCATGGTGAATTCTGACCTCTCCATTACCAAATTACTGTTCACTATCTGACCTGAGGCCCTCAAAGAAGATGTGAGAAAATCCCTTAAAGAAATGGAGGAAAAACAAACAAAAAGTGGAAGAAATGAACAAATTAATTAAGGAAAGCAAAGAACGTACAGAAAACCAAGAAAAAAAACAATTAAGCAGGAGAAGGAAACAGTTTAAGACTTGAAAACTGAAATAGACAAAATAAAGGCAACACAAACTGAAGGAATGCTGGAAATTGAAAAGCTGGGCAAAAAATCGGCAACTACGGACACAAGCATAACCAATAGAATTCAAGTGATGGAAGAGAGAATCTCAGGCGCAGAAGATAAACTAGAAGAAATAGATTCATTAACCAAAGAAAATCATGAATCCGACAAATCCTTAACACAAAACATCCAGGAAATGTGGGACACCATGAACAGGCCAAACCTAAGAATAATAGGCATAGAGGAAGGTGAGGAGGGCCCGCTCAAAGGTGTCGAAAATATATTCAACAAAATCATCAAGGAAAACTTTCCAAATCTGAAGAAGAACATGCCCATGAAAGTACAAGAAGCATACCGAAACTCAAATAGGCTGGACCAAAGAAAAAAGACCCCTGGACATATAATAATCAAAACACCTAGATGACCCTCAATTGAAGAATGGTTAATGAAGAAGTGGCACATCTACACAATGGAATACTACTCTGAAGAAAAAAATAATGGTATCTTGATATTTGTTTGCAAGTGCATGGCACTTGAAGAAACCATCCTGAA